GGGGGGGGGGGGGGGGGGGGGGGGGGGGGGGGGGGAGGGCTTATAGGCGACAGTTTACGGGGTTTATTAACAATAGGTTTAGAGACAGACAAAAATTACTTTACGAGATTATCTGAATACTAACTAGTAGCTCTGATTTTCAAAGAATTCCAGCAAGTTTTGACATTTTCTTTTGCATTTATTTGATGTTTCAGGTTTTTCGCACAAGAATGAGCCGAATACACCTGGCTACCCAGCATTCCATTCGAATGGGTGCCGTGAGTGGTGTTAATCAGTACTTTAGAGGTCGGGTCACGTGCCTGCAAATATATGGAATGATGTTGACCTCCAATCAGATAGCGACCATAAAGAAGAAGTGTGCTGCTAGGGACCGTAAGTGGCTTAATGTAATCTCTATGCAATCAGTGTATTTAACAATTATTCCACGAGCGTGCGTTAGATAAGAGATGGTTGATAGCCGACCAGGCGAGAAGCATCGAGTTGGCTATAACCATCTCATATCTAACAAGCGTGAGTGGAAAAATTTTTTGTAATTAAAAACGCCCCTAAAATGTAGAAACAAATTAAAATAAAAATAAAAGCGCCCCAAGGAATCACGCGTACGCTAACCATTTGTGTAGAGCAAGGTATAATGGCTCATATACCATGATGGCTAAGCCAATGAAAACTCTTGAACTGCATTATCCAATGATCCAGTTTTTAATATAATAATGTATTGTTGAATTGCATTCCTTTGAATAACCATTTTCTCTTCCTCTTATATCAAGACTTTTCTTTGTATAATTTCAGAGAAAGATCCTTGTCTTTCCAGCCCATGTAAAAATGGCGGAAGCTGTATCTTCGATTCAAAAGATAAAACTGGTTATCGTTGTCGCTGTAAACCTGGTTATCGTGGGCATAGATGTGAAGGTAATAAATCAATCAATCAATCAATCAATAAATACATAAACAAATAAATTTCACTTCGTTTTCTCTGTCACTTCTGGTTAAAGAAATTATCCTTGTGGCTGCTGAAAAAAAAAAGCAGCCTGCTGATTGCAATTGCAAGGATAGTATTAATCACTTTAAACTCTCTATCCGCTGTCCATTACTTATTATGTGGCTTGTGTTTGTAGCCGATATAACGTGCGCTCTGATTGGCCAATTCTAGAGCATTTTTCTCTCGTGATGTCCACGAGCCGATTACGGGCCTGCAAGAGCAAAGCAAAAAGCCATATAATAAACAACTTGTTAACCTCGATTGTTCGGTAAAGATCTCAATCCTTGGCCTTGCCGTATTGACCTCGCTATTGTTTGGGCAATAAGGCAAGGCGGTCTCACTCACGGCACGGTTAACAAGTAGTTATTAATATCGCCGTAATTTGCCCGTTCCTCGTTTGTTATTCTCTTTACTGTAAGGCAAAATTAAATTTGGATTGGCGTATTAAACTTAGTTTGATTAAGATTAATTTATCAGGCTATTTTACTATTGCTGGAGCTGGAGTTTAATATTTAGGCGCATAAAAAACGAAAAAGACTGTCCAAGGTATATTACGAACCTATTACCTAGAAATGCAGATAACAGGAGTGTCACCAGAGCTAACCGCTATGGAATGTGTAATTTGGTGTGTCCACGTTATAATAGGGAAACTGAAGGGAGGGGGAGTACTTTTCAAGTTCGTGGGTTTAAGCTTTGGAATGCGATTCACTCGATAAGAAAGACACCGTTGACGCCTTTAAAACTGCTCTTAAAAAATACTTTTTAGCCTAGTTTCTACGCTACGTGTATAAATGTCTTTTCATCAGAGAATTCTGATGTATATACTTTCTCTCATTTTCTAGTATTTTACATTTTTAATTTGCTGTATTTGTCTTAGTATTATTATTAGAGTAGAACCTCTATTAAGCGCCCCCCTATTAAGGGGCTAACTTTTATCTGGCAGCCAGCGGCCAAAGTCCCAGACAAATTGTCAGCTATACACTGTAATAAAAACCTCTATTCAACGGCCACCTCTATTAAGCGGGCGACCAGCTCTTGCCGTCCCAAGCGTGATTTTGTTTTCTTCTATACCTCTATTAAACGGCCAGGAAGATTTGAAGTAGGACGTTTTTAGCCAGATAAATCTAAAAGTATGACAATGTGGAAAAGTGATCGTTTCTTTGGCTTTTGTTGACGTTATGGACCGTATTATAACCATTATTGTTCTACTTTTTCTCCACTTGCATTTGTTTGTACTTATATATTTGATAAAGTGAAAACTGGACCACGCCCAATGTTGTTTTCGGGTGAACCTCTATTAAACGGCCACCTCTATTAAGCGGCCAGTTGTCTCGTCCCCGAGAGTGGCCGCTTAACAGAGGTTTGACTGTATTTGTAATTTAGATTGAGGGCCACTGGTTTATCAGTTTTTACTGTCGTGTGCTACCCTCAAAAAATAAAATTGTTACTTTACAGGAATACCTACAACAAGACCAACGGGAAGACCTACCACTAGATTAACAGGTAACCATTCCTTATCTTTAATTTTCTTCTTTTATATGAAAGCAACAGGCTAGAATAGATACAATGGANCAGATAACAGGAGTGTCACCAGAGCTAACCGCTATGGAATGTGTAATTTGGTGTGTCCACGTTATAATAGGGAAACTGAAGGGAGGGGGAGTACTTTTCAAGTTCGTGGGTTTAAGCTTTGGAATGCGATTCACTCGATAAGAAAGACACCGTTGACGCCTTTAAAACTGCTCTTAAAAAATACTTTTTAGCCTAGTTTCTATGCTACGTGTATAAATGTCTTTTCATCAGAGAATTCTGATGTATATACTTTCTCTCATTTCCTAGTATTTTACATTTTTAATTTACTGTATTGGTCTTAGTATTATTATTACAGTAGAATCTCTATTAAGCGGCCCCCTATTAAGGGGCCAACTTTTATTTGGCGGCCAGCGGCCAAAGTCCCAGACAAATGGTCAGCTATACACTGTAATAAAAACATCTATTCAACGGCCACCTCTATTAAGCGGCCGCGGCCAGCTCTTGCCGTCCCAAGCGTGATTTTGTTTTCTTTTATACCTCTATTAAACGGCCAGGGAGATTTGAAGTTGGACGTTTTTAGCCAAATAAATCTAAAAGAATGACTGTGGAAAAGCAATCGTTTCTTTGGCTTTTGTTGACGTTATGGACCGTATTATAACCATCATTGTTCTACTTTTTCTCCACTTGCATTTGTTTGTACATATATATTTGATAAAGTGAAAACTGGACCACGCCCAATGTTGTTTTCGGGTGAACCTCTATTAAACGGCCACCTCTATTAAGCGGCCAGTTGTCTCGTCCCCGAGAGTGGCCGCTTAACAGAGGTTTGACTGTATTTGTAATTTAGATTGAGGGCCACTGGTTTATCAGTTTTTACTGTCGTGTGCTACCCTCAAAAAATAAAATTGTTACTTTACAGGAATACCTACAACAAGACCAACAGGAATACCTACAACAAGACCAACGGGGAGACCTACCACTAGATTAACAGGTAACCATTCCTTATCTTTAATTTTCTTCTTTTTTATGAAAGCAACAGGCTAGAATAGATACAATGGAAACGAAAAAACGTGTTAAGGTAACGGACAACAGTTCTTCCAATAACCATGTGTTACTGTGGATAATAAGTACTAAGTGAAGTGTGATCATCGCAGTAAATTTTCCAATTTAAGCAACTGGAAAGAAGAAGCCTGAAAAAAATCAGGGCTTCAACGGGATTCGAACCCGTGAC